AGGTAAATGCAAAAGCTAAGGTGGTTAGTAACATAGTAACTGGGTTTGCAAGACAGAAAACCCACTGTGGGCTCCTACCCATGATAGGTTGTTGTACTGTGTGAAACTAGCCTGGTTCCAGCAGTGTGGCTTGCTTCGAGGCAGCAGCCTACTCTGACAATCCACACCTTATTGGTAGGGCTTGTTGCGTCCATAATGGGTTCTTGTGTTGTTTGAACCAGTTGACAAATGACACTGTGGATGCCGGGGGTCAACTACCAAACCACTTGGCAAGGAGCAGCTGCCAGCGCTAACCACCCTACAAGTGCCAAAGTGCACTTCAGGACAGTTGGCACTGGTTTGCTATCCTCCCTGCTATGACTGAAGCTGTTTTCAGGTTGCTGGGACTTTCCACACTTCCACCTTCCACACTTCCACATTCCAAAAGACAGGGATCTCCAGATCAACAGCCAGTTTTTTTCTTCATCCCACTTTGACAGCCAAGTTGCACCATGAAGGGGCAGTCAGATCTGTTTTAAAATGCAAAATAGTTTTGTACACAATGTGCACAAACAGGTTTGCAATGGATAATTTCTGACTGGGCCATATCTATTTATTAATACAGCCTGCCTTTTTTCCATCAAGGAACCAAAGGCAGCTTACACAATCCTTCTATCCTCACAACAACCCTGTGAAGTAGGCTTGGGCTGACACTTTGTGACTGGTCCAAAGCCACCCAGTGAGCTTCATGGATGGTGGGGATTACAATCTGGATCTTCTGACTCCCAATCCATTTTGAGAGCTAGTGGGTTCCCTGGCATCTAGTCATTTGGAGCTGTCAGTGACTGTCAAAGCAGTACTCACAGAAGCTGGCTCTCAAGCCCAGAGATCTTCAGCTGTGGCGTAGTAGAAATGTAATAAATAATAATGATGGTGATCATAATGATAATGATGATAAAGCCAGCTTTCACAATTTCTGGAAAAGGTGAGGGGAAGCCATGGCAAACCAAACTGACTCACCATCACATCAGGTCAGTTCAGTCCTGCCATGGCATCCCTTGAGAGATTCAGACTAGGAGGAGGAGGTGGACAACCCATCGTGAACCTGATCGCCTCTGGTGCTCGGAGCCTGTGTGCAGAGCAACCTCTCCACCGTGGCTGTTGGAGACATACCAATGTGCCCACTGTCTGAACCGGCTGAAGCAGGTCACCTGGAGCTAATTGTCTGACAGGCCTGCTTCCCGCGGCTTATGTCAGATGACCTGAATGAATTCTCATTTCTCTGCCTTCTACTAATCTATACAGCTTCAGGGGTCAAGAGGCAGAAAGCACAGGACAAAGAAATAACCTTTTCCTCCTGCTGTTCTGTCTCTTCCAATCTTCCCCTTTCCCCTCAAATAGTTCCAAGGCAGTCATGAATCACAGGATACAAGGATGAAAGCAGAGGAGTACAGGGGGAAAATGCAGGAAACCCATGTCCTCCCACTGGGCTAGTTTGCATTGCACAAAAATCCCCTTGTGGGGTGCTTGATGCATGCTCGCTGCCATTTTGACAATGCAAGCTCCAGTCATAGCCTGTCACATGATCTGAATCTGGGTAGCAGGAGTTATTTGAGGGTTAAACTACCATTGCATAACCCAGGTTATTTAACTGTCAAATAATCCCCACAGACTGGGTTTGGATGATGCAGCGAGACACAGTAACTCCCTAGCAGGGCTCCCACAGTCACACTGGGAAAACCAGTGCTGCATGGTGGTCACAATGCTGGACCAGGGCTGGATCTGGGAGATCCATGTTCTCAACCTCCATCCACCATGAAGCTCAGTGGATTACTTTGGGCCAGCTACTCACTCTCAGCCCAAAATATTCCACAGAGATGTTTTTGTGAGGATAAAAATGGAATGGAGAACTATGAAAACCACCTTGAGTTCCTTGGGAGAAGGAAAAAGGTGAGATATAAATGCAAACACATGCCCTAAGGATCAACTAACCCACGGTGAGCTGTCACTCACTGGCTGGGTTCACACAACATGGCAAACAACCCACGCTGTTTCTTTGGTATGCAAATGTTTACTTGAATTGACCAGCCAGATGATCATGTGAGATACCCAGGCAGAGCAGTTCCCAAACCCCCTGCTCCAACCTCCCAACCTCACCTCACATCTGAGCAAGCAAAATCCCCATCCTTTCCCTATTCTTGCCTAAGGGCTGAAGCAGCCCTTTCCCGCTTGATCCAACCTGGGTCTGAGGCAGGTCTGCCCTTCCTCTCCTGAAAGAACCTGCGTGTCTGCCGTGCTGGCCGGCCACTCTGGCCCCCACAGAAATGTCACTGAATGAAAGCAAGCAGTTTCACTGGGATTCCCCCTTCTCTTTCCAATTTTCATGCTGCCTCCCTGTTTCCAAGTGTAAACACAATTCCAGGTGCGAGTTTGGCAGTGCAAGAACACCCACACTTCTTGAAAGCTAAAATATGAGCCTCTCTTCACGACAAAAGACACCTTTGATATCTCTTTGCCTCCAACTCAAGAACCAGGCTGGGTGGAAGAGAGAAGCATCCCATGCATTTGAAATAGCGTCCCACCATCATTAATAAGGTGTTTTGCCCAGGCAGGTGTCTTCCAGACTGTGTGAACCTGGGGAATGCTGCTCAGTACTTCAGGTGAGCACCAGGCGGAAAAAAGATCTCAGAAACTAACTTCTAAATTCCAAATCTCCTTTCAAATTCTTCTTAGACTGCAAAATTTTCTGCTAGACTGCGGGTTATCTTGAGTATCCTGGATCCCACGCTGAGATGAAGGAGATGCTTTGAAAAGTCTTTTTTCACCAACTGTAGCCCTGAGGTTGCTACACAGTGCACTAGCAAACATTGTTAACTGGAGCTTGCCTCAGAACAAGATTTTTAGAGTGTAAAAAATACCACAGATCCTAAAATCACATAAGCTTGGGATTCATCTTTATTTACGAAGTAGTTTAATGCTCCATCCTAACATGCAGAACTATTTGATACTTAACAACTCAGGACAATAAATCAGAATAAATAAAATGGTATTGCACAATTGAACTCCATTTTTAAATTTTTCCAGCTTAATACCATACTTAATGTGTGAAGCAGCAGCTAAAGGCACCAGGTGTCAAAGAAATGGAAGGGAGCTGTGCAAGAACACTATTTTACTCTTGCACAGCTACTGTTAATTGAAATGGGCTTGCAAAAAATGATGTTTCCCTGGATTAAACCCATACAAAACAATCTAATCAATGTTTGCTCAGAAGCTAAGTCCACCCATTTTAATAGGACTTGTTCCCAAGAAGTATGCACATGATCGCAGCTGTAATCTTATGTTCTGAACAGTTTTTAAAAATCTCATTTACTTAAAAATACAAAATACCTCTGTGTGCAGTTTGAACTATTTTTATTCATTTTAGGGCTGAGGCAGGGGATGGCACTGGTCCATTTTAATCTATAAAATCTGTCAAGTTTATGAGAGACCTCTTTTTCAGGGAAGCCAAAGAACTTTGCTCATAGTGATTTTTTTAGACACTGAAGTCACTGTTATGTTCCTTCTCACTTTCTTTGGCACTTCTGGAAGATTGAAATAATCTGTTTTTATCACCTCAAGAAATTCAATCTTAAATGTTCACCAAGCAATTAAAACTTCTCAGGTTTTCTTCTTCGGCTGTTGCTGCTGCTGCTAAAACAAAGCAACTGATGAAGAAACTGATGTTTTAGTTTAGACAGCTTCTTTCCAAAATAATGAGCTGGGGTCTACCAATGCTCCATAGAAACTGTATGAGCAAATGACCAAAACAAGAACAGTGGGTACTGATGGAATGTGCCAGCAATAAGTTATGTGTTGGAGCAGCATTTCCCAATCTAATGCTTCCCAGAGATATTAAACTAGAGTACACATCAACCCCAGCCAACATGGCCAAGAATTGACTTACAGTATTCCCAGCATTCAAATATGCAGATGTATCTCAATACATTTTTCCTGATTAGGATGGGCATGCAGATGGTGCTCATGGTACAGCACATGCTTTGCATCCAGAAGGACCCAAGTTCAATACCTGGCAACTACAGGTGGGGCTACAAAAACTCCCACCTGAAACCCTGGAGAGGTGCCACCAGTTCATATAGACAGTGGACTGGCATCTAATTCATTATAGAGCAGGCTTTAGGTACCTATGTTTTAAAACAACATAATGGAGCGTGTTATATTGGAAACTCAGGAAAATGGACGCCTTTATTTGTCTTACCAGAGAGGAGCAAACAGTGTTTGAGAATCAAATGCTCTGTTTTAGAGACTTGCCTCACCAAAGTCCCACCATTTCTACCAATGTAAGAAGAGTCATACTGAATCAGCAGCAGGTCCATCTAGTCCAGCATTCTGTTCAAACACTGGCCAATCACATGCCTATGGAAAACTCACATGACCAAGTAGCCTTCCACCTATGTTCTCCAGAAACTGGAGCTGTGATTTACTAAGCCATGTAAATGTCAGGTTCTAGAAGCAGATGTCAAGGGAATCAGCACAGTGACATTTAATACTACGTTTATTCTTTGAAACCTAAAGTAATGTTAACTTGAACCATTTGTGCTTATCAAGAAACAGTGCTTATCATCCTTCATATAATGCTACTTATGAGAACAGTCCAACACCTGAAGCAAATAAAAGGTTACAATCTCCAAAGCTGAGCCGTAGCTACAGAAGATGCAGTCATAAGATGTACCAGGGAAGAACATGCCACACTGTTTGGGGTTCCATGCATCTTTCTCTCATGCATAATGGTTCACAGGATCAAATTATAAGTTCTAGTAAGACTGTATGGCTTTCCAGATATTGTTTGTCAAAAACTTCCATCTTTCTTGACCACTGGCCATACTAACTGATGGAAGTAGACCAGGGATGGGAACTCAAAAGGCCCACTGCATTTATTAAAATGTGTGACTTGAGCATGCACATTTGTAGCCCATCCAAATTAATGATGTCTGCTTCAACATGAAAACGCCAATGTGACTTACGAAAAGAGCAGGATTCCTGTGTTGGCCAGTGCATAAGCGAGGCCTAATATTCCACTGCCCATGATGGCATTGCTGAGATTGAAGACAGACATTCCCAGGGATGTCGTTCCTGCAATCTGTAAAGAGTTAGTGAGAGAGAGGGAGAAAGAGAGAGGATAAAAATAGTTCCAAAAGCTATAGCACATTTTTAATTCTAAGTTTTATTTTCAAGTTGTTTCACCTGCATCCTTGAAGGATGTTTTTTCATCCTTCGTCTTGAGTCTGATATTTGGTTAGTTGTCTGCCAAAGTTGTTGTTGTTGTTGTTGTTATTATTATAACATTTCTATGCCGCCCCTTGCCGAAACCTCGGGGCGGCTTACAACATGATAAAATACATTGAAATACAATAGTACATAATAAATTACCATTAAATACAAAAATAAGTTCAGTGGCAGCAGAGGAATTATGGACAACTGAAAGACAGTGATGGCATAGGAACAGAACTGCATGACAAGAGGAGGTTACATATCCATGCTGGCCAGTAAAGATTCCACCCCCCCTCCCACTGCCTAACACTTGTAATGTTTCACAAGGTGTCCCTACAAGTAGAACATTAGCATGGAAAGTTATTTGTATAGTAGATGTCAGGCATATGTACTATACTGGCTCGGAGACTCATTTACCTTCCCAACTGAATTTCAGTCTCTTCCCTGGCTCAATTGCAGTTGGGACTAGCCTCAGCCACAAATAGTCTGTGCCATTTATTGGGAGAGACACACCATTAGTCAAAGCTCCATGCTTACACAGAGCTCTTCTATGAGCAGGGGTTTCTCATTCATTTCAGTGGAATTGGTACAAAATTAGAGACTGGGGGAGTGGAAACATGAACACGATCTTGAGCTTCTTGGAGGGGAGGTAGGGATATAAATGTAATAAATAAATAAATATGGGCAAGCTGTCCAATAAATATGGAGTGGCTTCTGCTTCCTGCTTCCTGATGAAACAGACATGGATCACCTACATGCACATGAGGTTAGAGTGGATATCTCAGAAGGACAACCTACATATTCATCGCATTTTTTCTTTTCCAGGTGGCTGTTGGTTAGACTTCTTCTGCTCTCCCGGTCTGCAATGAACTTGCTGGGGGGACAAAAACACACCACACAATAGGATTGTCTTCAGCATGATAATACCACATAGCAGCAACAAGGCATTAGTGCTATATATGATCTGAGTTATTGATTTTTCTGCCATTCCAGCATCGGTTTGTACTGTTTCAGTGAAGCTGCCTTGAACAGCATTATATGAAAAAGTGGGGCAGAAGTAAATGAGTTATACAGATGCAACATGAGCTGATACATAAGAAATGATTCACAGAGTGGAACCAGCATGAACAATTTAAGTCTGAAATACACACACACACAGAGTCATATACAGCTTTCCTGTAGGAAAACTTTTTCCCCATGGCTTTTTTACAAGAGAAGAAGTCTTCCCCAGGCCATTTTCCTGTCTGGAATTTTAAATAGTCACTCCCCGCTCCCCAGTAAAATAAACGTTCATATACTTGAACTCATATAAAAAGGGTCGCCCAGTGAAACTCATCTGCAGCGACAGTGGCAGTGACAAAAGAAGCATCTCACAAAACATGCCCAATTCTTTTCAGTCTTCCCTTAATGCATTCAGTGAACCCTTGCAAGGGAGAGTGGAACTGCACTCGTGGGCGCCCTGGCCCATACTTATGCATTCAGCAAAGGATGTGGAACGTGGCTCTGTGCCCATTTGCACACCGAGGAGCTTCCACATGGCTGCGAATCCAGAATGCACAGAAAAAGATGAGGACAGACTTGTGCTGCTACTGCTCAGATTATCCCAGAATTTTGGATGTTACACAGGATTTTGAGAGGCGATCCTATTACATCACAGGCACATCCTTTTCTGCTATGTCTGACGGGGTGACTTATCACCTTCCTTCTAGAGAAAGCTGCTCAAGGTGTATGGCAAGAATCTTAAAGGACATTCCTTCCATCCTTTGGCTTCATCTTTGAACCCTCATCCACTAGTAAAATTAAGTCTAACTGTGTGTAAGGCCACATGGCGCACGCTCTTCTGCTTTTACTTTTGCCTTTAGTTTCTCTGCTTCTCTTGTTTCACTTCCCTTTCTATCGCTATATTGATTACAAGCTCCTCAAGGCAGGAACTTGTCCTTTTGCTTATGCGGAAAGGGAAGGTGCAAGTCAGTAGTTCCATAATGATTCCTCACTGCCTCAGCCTGCTCTTGCTGTCTCTTCTTCTCTCTTACATTCTCTCCAAGTCTCTTACAGTGCAGTCCTATGTTCATTTAGACAAAATAATGTCCTACACTTCCCAGCATTCCTCAGTCACCATGCCTGGCTAGGGCACACTGGGAGTTGTAGGACTGTTTTTTGTCTAAACATGCATAACATTGCACCCTGACATTCACCCTTCCTACAGTGGGTTTTTAGGAAGGGCTTACTCAAACTCTTTTGATGTTAAAGTGTGATGTGGAAAGCACAAATGAACTAACTGTATAATCAGGAAAATTACAATGGTACCAAGACACTTATTTTCATTCTTAAATGCTTACTGCTGCTCCCTGACATTTAAAAGTTTCTGTTTGCATTAGACAAAACAGGACTTCATCATTCCAATTTAGAACTGCAGAAGTTATAGGTCTGTATATGTAGTCTAGGAAAGCTGGAAATTAGACTTTATTATTTTGGTACACCAAAGGAACTATAACTAAATTTTCAAAATACAACCTTACCTTCTAGAAATCACAAAAAGCTCAACTGAAATTACTTGCTTTAAATTATATAGGTAAATGAAAATGAGTTCAGTTTACTACTTAACCTGAAGCTACAACAATAGATTTTTACAGTTCAAAATACTTAAAACACCAAAACACACCTCATACAAAGTGTTTGTGACATTAATGAAGTGTGCCATCATCACTGTTCATAAAGTGCTCAGTTTATCGCAGATTCTCAGAGCAATTTTGGATGTTTCACAAGATTTTTAGAGACAGTTCAACAGGAATAGCAGGTATATCCTGTTACCTATGGTCAATACAGCCCAGTAAATGTCAACTGAGCCTAGCAGCAGTTCTCATCTACAACATCACAGAAGAAGAATGTCCTAGTCTTTATATCCTTTGACGGATATGCTAAGGATTAAACCTTGAGCCTTATATATGTGCTCTAGAACACTTAGCCCTTTTCAGAAGGCACTTAATGAAACTTTGTTGACTCATCCACCCATTTAATGGTAAAAGAATAGTCCATGAAACTTGCAGATTGGAAGGAGTGATGCAAGATTGCATCAGATCCTTTTCTCAGTGCAAAAGGAAGCAGAGGCCTGGGGTCAGGGAAGAGGAAATGACATTACACAGTGCTAGGTTCTCTTAGCAACTTTTGAGAGTATAAATTCACACATCCAGATGTAACACTGGACTAGACAGATCTTCAGTGAGCTCCAGCTATGGGTGGGTGGTTGTTGATAATACAACTATGAGTCAGAAATCCTTGCAGATCGATTGCAAATTACTCAAAGATCAAACACTGCAACTAGATCCATCTTCTGCCCACCTTTACTCCTATGATACAGCCATATAAGTATTGATTGAGGACAGCCTGGTAAATGCATTTAATGACAGGTTACCTGCCGCCATTCATTACAATGATCACATGATGCAAATATAATAATGCATTTTTGGGCACAATGCTTTACACGCCAAAGAAGCTTGAAAGGGCTGCCTCCCAAAATACTTTAGCTTACAGCTCTTCTGCCACTTCACAAACCTTAGCAGGGGCATTCCAACCTTTTGGAATGGAGGGGGATTTGCAAAAGCCAGGAAACCACTAACTGATGGTCAGGGAAGAAGCATGTGGTGATTTGCAAACTCCAGAGGACTGGACTGAGGTACAAAGCGGGCTGGCTTTGGCTCATGGGCCTGAGATTCCATAACCCTGATGCACTCTTAACTGTATACATTAAATCCCACTGTATGTAGGAAAGAACTCACTTGGACTTACTTTTGAGTAGACATGCCCAGGCTTACATTTCATGTTTGACTGGGTCATATTAAATACAGTGGCCTCAATCCAAATAACAATGAAAACAGTTGAATGGAAGTGAGCCATGACTACGGTGCATCATTGGCTTCAGTGAAACTAAGAGCACAACCCTGTGCATTTTTACAAAGAAGCAAGTCCTACTGAATTTAGTGGAGCTTTCTTCATAATTATGGTGTTTAGGGCTGCGCAGGTGGAAACTCCAACTCTTTGCATGCTGCCTTAGAAGCAAGTCATGTATTCTTATTCCTAGATAATTGTACATAGAATTGCAGTGTCAGTTGTACATACCTTTAGCTGGATCGGGGCCTGTAAGTATAAGAAAAGGCAGCACAAAATAATTAAGATATTGGGCTTGATCCAGAAAACTGCAAGCTAAGTTCCACCTGCACAACTGAGTTTCCTGTTGCAGAACATTGCAGCCTTCAAGAACCCTATGTGATGGCAAATGTGAGACTGCAACAGGATGGGGAAATGTGAAGAAATCAGGTAGGGCTGCTCTGAGGATGTAAAACTTTCTCTCTGCTTGCTTAAGGCACCCTTGGATCCAAGCCAGGATATATTTCTAAGTACTCAACTTTGGCTAAAATCAAGGCATTTCATAAAATCAGATTCAATTAAATTTCTACAGCTACATTTCTCCCTTAAAAGCAACTTGTATGATCTGGGAATATAATAATAGGATTCTTCTACCAAATAAGTAAACAAAATGTTTAGCAATAGCTTTTATAACAATTCATAAAGCCAGAAAAACCCAGGACACAGGAGGAAAAATATAAGTATAGATTAGCTTGCCTAACTCAAATGTAATAAATAGCACCAGACCATCTGGGACTGTATTTTTCTGAATGCTGGTAGAGGAACACTTGTTGAATGGTCGTCTTACGCAGTCACTATAAAAAACTTCCTTGTGCCCATACAACAAGAATATCTAGCAGATACCATTCTTCCAACTCCTCTGAGTTGAAGACGTTTCTCATGGCATTGCTCATGCATGCAGTGCTCACATTCTGAAGAGGCACCGACTGAGCAATGTTGTCTCTCACACTCTTCGTGAACTTGTAAACTGAGTTCCTGCTTTAGAACAGGAGATGGTGCAATGAGCTATCAAAAGCAGATGGACCAGTCTTAATCTAACACAGACTTATCTGAAGGAGAATTCTCTGCACATACACGTGCCTGAACATGGATGCTTAGCTTATGGAAATATGGAGATGGGCATGATTTGTAACTTTTAAAACCCTCCCTGAATGTACCAGAATCTAAGTGTAAACCAACTTGAAGAATTCTGTAGGATGTGAATGCTGGTTCTCCTACATATGCACCAGGTCTAAGAAAAAGGGCACGGCACCATTTGATCTCTTTTGGTCAAAAATGCCAAAATGCCACCATTCTGATAACTGCAAAGTATTGTAGCTTATGATGTCCAACCCTGGGCAATTTGCAATTAAACTTAACCACAGTCTCTTCAAACAAGCCAAGTTCAAATCTAGTTTATGAAGGTGATTTAGGTATATAAAACACAGTTTAGATTAATCACAGTTTAGGGTTCAGATAGGATGCTAAACTCTGGTTAACCTAAAATGGAAATTTCCTCTTCTGATCCCCTCACAGCTGTGTGGGAGAATAAAAAGAAAGAGAACATGCAAACCAGAGTCTTTCTGTGGCTCATAACAGCATGCTTGGGTGGGCAGAAAATAGGCTGCCTTTACTGGTAGATCTCTGATTGTTCTAAAATAGATCTTCAGTCGTTTAACAACAGTGACAATTATATGACTGATTCCCCCCACCAGCCCCATCACACTACTGAATTTTAGCTTGGAGTAACTAGGTTTTGATGTGGCAAAAGCCTAGTTCAGTTCTGCTATTTCTGGGCTCAGTATCTTTAGCTGTGAGAACTTTTGCTAAGAATGGTATATACAAGCTATAAATAAATAAAATTATCTTCATACCTGGCTAGAGTTGGTGGATTCTGAGATTCTAATAAAAAAGGAAAATAGGTTCCACAGCACTAAATCATGGGTTACCATTATGTGCAAATACAGCCACTATGCAAATATTTCCCATATGTCCAATTTTATTACCTGAAGTAATGTTTGAATGACTAGGCATCTTTAAGTGCTGGCTTTTTGGTCATATGCTGCTCTATAGATTTCTGTTAAGCATAGTGACATTTAAAGGTTGAATAAATTAATATTCTATGCTTTTCTAATGTGAATGACCAATAGAGGATGAGTATAAAATTCAAATTACATCTTCCAATGAAATATGACTCAGGAATGAATCATTCATGAGCTGTGCTTCAAGTCAGTTTCAATGCTGCTATTAAGCAGACTGTTTTTATATGGTAAAGCAGGGGCAGTGGAAAACTACTTACCTATTCATCTGGCCATTTTCTCCTTCAGTGAAATCATTAGAATCATTGCTGATATTGTCATCTTCTGGGACCCTCATATTTTGCATCTCAGTTAATTCTAGTCCTGTTTTGAAAGACATCTTGATTTAAGGTGACTTATCCTGATGTTGTTTTGATTTCTGGAAATTAGAAAAAGATGGGGGAGGGGGAGAGAAAGTCAGAAGAAAATTGCAGTCTATAAAGAATAGAGAATAACAACAGAATTGAATTTCCAAGATTTCTTCCACTATTTTTGAACTAGGACCCTCTACTGGGTTAATGCTGTCAATGGCCTAAGAATGTATTTATTTCTACTATCAGTATCACTTCATTGAAAGACTTGAACAGAGCAACGAGAGTGATGGAAGGCTGCAGCTATTGCCTTCAGGGATCTGTAGTTGTATATAAGGTGAGATCTAATTTTTGATTTGAAATGTGATGCCCAATACATCTGGGTAGATACTTTGATAAAGGATGTGAAATTCTCAAAATGCACATTGTTGTTCTTGCTGCCGACGCTTCAGACAACCAACATGGTTCTCGCTGCACATGTTATCCTCACATCAACCTTCTCATTTAATGGATACCTTTATTTGCTTTGCTGCTTCTGAATTGCCTTAATAGAGCGAGGAAGATCTGTGGAGGCCGTGCAAATGTGCTTATGCATCCCGATATGCAGTGCAGTAAATCTGCTACTTTGCCTATCATCTCGTGTGCTATTAAGAGCGGCAAAAACTTTTATCAGGTGTCATTTCTCCTATCACTACGAACAGCCCTGCAATGGAAAAATGGCTTTTGGCAAGCTTCAGGACACAATCTCTGTCTGTTCTTCGATATCAGTCTCTTCCAAGATCAGGAAATCAGAAGAAACAGATGTACGCAGAACTATATAAGATGTTCTTTCTCTGTAATGTTCAATCCTTCTGAATAAATTCTGCAACACAGGCAGATCTAGGAATATTTGCCTAGCTTACATGGAAAATAAAATCAAGCTTTTTAGCACAAAATTAAGAGTTCTATGGGCTCATGTTTTTTAAGAATATTGTTACTGCTGACTCTACATGGTCCTTAATGGATTCTTCATGAACAGTGGAACTCCTTCTGGGTCAAACCAAAGGTTCACTTAGTTGAGTGTTACACTCCCATCCATGGGCCAGCAGGTGATGCTGGAGAACCATAAGCAGGTCATGAAGGTGATGGATGCCCCCTGGGGTGTATTCCCTTCAATCTTGTATCTTGATTCAAACAGGTCACTGTTTCTCCATAGCTGTTGATCAAGTCTTCAAATTCAGCTTCAGATCTGCACCATAGGTTAGAAGATAGTGGTAGGGTTGTATAGTGGTTAGTGATGGACCGAGATGCAAAAGACTGGGGTTCTACTCTTCACTTGGCTATGAAGTTCTGGGTCAGTCATTGACTCTCAACCTAAGCAACCTCACAGGATGATGGACAAATAGAGAGAGGCAGACTTTGTAAGTTGCCCTGGGTTCCTTGCAATAGCAAATAAGGCAAGATAAAAAGTACAAGCAAGCAAGCAATCTGCATGGTGCTTTTTCTACTGTCGTAAATGCTTCACCTGCATTACTTAATTGTTATCTTTACAACATCCCTGTAAGGCAAGTCACTGTTATTGCTTCTCATCTTGCAGATGGTGCTAGCAAGAGATACTGGAAGAATGGCCTGCGTGAGCTCACAGTGAAGACAGATCAGTGGAAATAGGGACTTCCTGCTTCACAGCTTGGTAACTTAGCCATGATGCTACACCAGCTGCCCACATGATGCAATTTTCTCCACAATTGAGCAATGTGGCACCAGCTGTACATTTCAAACAGTGTGTACCAACATTTAATTTTAAAGATTAGTCTTTTGGGCATGCATACCACCTTCTCTCTCACACCACACTAAGGACAAACCCATTTTCCCTAGTTTCCAACAGAGGGAAATTTTTACACAGCATCAACTGGCTGGTCCTCGCTTCAATCACACAGCACTGCTCACTCTCCTTTTCTCAGAGGTCTGTGCATGGCTCTGCCAGTGTGTCAGTCATGAACCTGTCTCTTCTCTCCCCCACAGCGACCCAGAGCAGTTTTTCAAGCCTAAAGCGCTTTTAAAAGCAAACACATAACAAACTACCACTCACATACTTGAGCAAATAAATGCAAAGGCTTGAAGGAAAAAGAAAACATTCCCTCTGCCACGTCAGGTGACCTGACATGGGGAAAGGAATAGGCAATAGACTGACTCTAACTCATGGACTTGAAAGGGCAAAGGTGGAGTGAAGCAGGGTGAAGCAGAGTTCACATCAGCCTATGTTCCTGTCTGCGAGCATGTGCTCATGCAGAACCCGTTTTTGAGCAGGATAGTGAGTTTCTGAACTTCTAACAGGGGGATATTTGCAACAAGGGAAACACATGTAATTTATCTCACAAACCAACCCCAGATTATTCCTCAGAGATGAAGTTTCTGTCCTTTTCTAAAAGGTTAGCCAGAAACTATACACAGCTCTTGATCACAGAAAAAAATGAGGCCAAGCCATCTTTCTGTATTTTATTGTGTCTAAACAGTATATGCTACTTTCCCTCTTTTTATAGCAACCTTCTGTCCAAAATAAACCCTAAACAGAGAACAGAAAAACCTCATGGAATTATAAATCCATAAATCGTAATAAAGCCATAATACAAAAAGTCAGTTTCTTTTAAAACAAATTCAAGTAGGAACAGTATGAACAATTTCCATCTTATCCACTTAAGCCTCAAAGAAGAATAGTTGTGTGGCTATAAATAGGGAGGTTATGCACATATTCAGCATTTGCTGAAAACTTTCTCCTGAGCCTCTTCTCTTGTCCCTTCACCAGATGCCCCTGGTGATATCCAGCTTAGAAAACCCTTAGGAATGGGGAATGTGATGCTGGTTTTATCTCTGCCTGTGTTTTCCATCAGCTGCACTACCCCACATTTCTGCCTTCATCTTCTTCTCCTACATCTTGGGCCTAGGACTTAGGATAAACACCCTGAGCAAGAAAGGAAGAATTCAACAGATTTTTCTCACCCTCAACTCAAAATGGACTTGCAAATAGGTCCAGGAAATGAACCAGATGGTGGAAGGGAAATGTTACTAGCTTGCCTGCTGCCACAGACCACATTAGTCATTCGCTCCTACTGTCAGGTATAATTGGGGCAGAGAGAGTGGCAAAGAAACAACACCTCACTGGATCTATCCAAACATCCTTTTGCTGCATCGATAGTCTTTTTTAGGATCATCCAGGGCCTATTCCAGACTGGCCCCAAGGGCATTTTAGACCCACCTGAGGCCTGCTACTGGGAGCATTAAAGGAGAAAAAAATGTTACCTCCATTGGGACTTAGACTCTGGTGCTGGAGTCACTGAATTAGGCAAAATCCTAAGAGCACAGCCTGTGTAAAGAGTAAAGTTTTCCTGGATGAGTTTCAGTTGGTACAGCTCAAGAATGTCAACAAGATGCTTGAACAGCCATATCTGTACTAGATATTTGTCTCTCCTGTCTTCTAAAATCTAGTAAGGAAGAAGCTGTGCCAGTGAGATGTGCAATGCCTCTTCACAAGATTGCGGGGGGGGGGGGGGGTTCCATGCCTCCCCAAAAAAGCAGTAGTGAGACCACTCCTAGCATCATAGAATAGTATAGTTGGAAGAAACCAAGAAGGCCATTGGATCCAACCCTCTGCAGGTGCAGGTCACCAAATGACACCATCCCATTCCTCTCAGGGCTAAGAAGATTTTAATAACTTTAGGCTGGTGGTAAATATTCCTTTCATGAGCAGGTGCTGGCCTGGAGTTCTTGAATGAGACTGAATATAGGGACCCATTTCAATCAGGGTCCAGGAAGGTTTTGGCATGGAAACAACCTCGTTTGCCCTGTAAGATGAGCTGTGCCAAGCAAGAGACAGGAGAATGTGACCTCTGCTGACACTTCTGCATCTCTTGGTGGCTTTCAATATTTCAACTATAGGGCAGCTGACTGAGCTGGGAGTGAATTGTAGGGGTTCCACTTCTACTTGTATGGGCAACTGCAGTAGGTGATGTTTGGGAAATACTGCTTGGCCCTTTGGGGTCTCTTGTATGGGATTTCTCTAAGGTAGGTCTGGTTCCCTATACTATTTAGCATCTTCATGAAACCATTAAGTAGGAACTCTGGCATTCTAGAGAAACTGAATCAGCTAATGACATGCTACTCCATTTCTCTTTTTCATCTTCTGCGTGTGAGGACGTGCTAAAACAGTGCCTGACTGTGACAGTGAATTGGATGGAGGTTATCAAAATGAAACTCAGTCCAAACAAGAAGTTATTATTCTTAGAAGGAACAGGTCCCTGACTCCTTCAGCCATTTTTGTCACTTGAGGTTCTGGTGGCCTCACTGGCAGAGATTGCCTTCTTCCATTTCCAGCTGGTGGCTCAGCTATGCTCCTTTCTGGACAGAGATAGCCTGGTTTCAGTAATCCAGGCTCTGGTAATCTCTAAACTAAAGTAGTGAAATTCACTGTACATGGGGCTGCCCTTGAAGAAGGTTCAGACACCACTGCTTGTGTGACATGAGGCCAGACTAATAACCTGAACCAGAAGATGGGAACATATAACACCAATTCTGGTCCTCCGTAGCAGCTATGATATGCTTCTAAACTCAGTGCATGGTGCTGGTTTTAATCTAGAAAACACTGCACGGCTTGGAACCACAATACTTGATGGAACTGCTCCCCTGGACACTGTGATCAACATCTAGGGCATTGCTCTGACTGCTCTGTCTGAGAGAAGCTTGGTTGGAGGCAACAAGAAGGAGGGCTTTTTCAGTGGTGGTCCTACAATTATGGAAAAAGCTTCCAACTGAGGCCCACCTCTTGCAGGCTGTACTGTCTTCTTGGCACTAAGTTAAGACAGCTGTTACATGCCAAATCATTTAATAGCTCTAAAATAGCATGTGGAGGAGCTTATATCAGCTATTTAACTGGGCTTGTTTGTCGTAACTTAGTTGTTTAAATTTGTTGTCAAATTTTATTGTTTTTTTTTCTTGCTATCTGTATTTTATATTGTATTTTATGAATCGTTATGAAGACACATAAAATAGAGAGCTTCAGCGATTGGGTGGTATAAAAATAAAATTATAATTATAA